TGAGGGAATGAGACTACTCCTCCTTTAAAAATACTCCATTCCAGCTAACTGGTGTCACACACCTATTGAGTCCCAGGTCCTTAGAAAGCTGAGGAGGGTCATATGAGCTGTGAGCCCAGGAGTTCCCTGCTGGCTTGGGCAGGAAAGCAAGACACTGTCTCAGAAACAACAACGAGTCCATTTTCATGTTGGCTTTAGGAAACCACTAGAGAATTTCTCTGCTAGTGACCACCTGTTCTTAGTTGTAGGGATTTCATAGAATGATAAAGAGAACACAGCAAAACAAAAATGTGGGGAACTTGATAAGGTTTTAAACTTACCACCTAATACTAACATTTTATAAGAGAAAGGGTGTTTTAGGGACTGGGGAGATAGCTTGGCAATCGAAGATCTTCCTGGAAGCACAATGACCAGGTTTTGATCCCCGATCCCCAGTACCACATCTAATGCCAGCCCTGGAACCCCAGATACACCGTGCAGACTCCTGAAACCGAGTGTGGTGTCGCATGCTGGGGAGGCTGAGACAGAATTGCTAGCAGTCTGAGCTGTGTAGGGAGACCCTGTGTCAAATGAATAAATGATTTTTTAAAACTTTAAAAATGGTGCTTTATTACAGAAAGGGAGGGAAGGAGGGAGGAGCAAAAAGGAAGAGGAGGAAATAGTAGAAGAGGAAAAGGAGACATCTTCTTGGATTAAGCGTCCTGCAGTGTTAGCTTCCCATCACCATGATAGCGCACCTGAGACAGTCCACTTATATGGAGGAAAAGTCTCTCTCGGCTCACAGCTTCAGAGGTTCCAGCCCATGGTTGCTTGGCACTGTTGCTTTCAGCCTGTGGTGGTTCAGATATGGTGGGAGGACATGGCGGAAGAGGCTGCTAACCTCCTGGCCACCAGGAAGGAGAAAGAGAGGGGGAGGGAGGGAGGCAGGGAGAAGAAGGGAAGGAGGGGGAGAGAGAGGATGGGGTCCCAGTAGCCCCTTTCAAGGTCACTCCCTACATGACCTCACTTCTTCCCACTAAGTTCTGCCGCTTCTCACCAGCACCATGGACTGGGACCAAACCTGTGACACATGGGCTTTGAAGGACACTTGAGAGCCACACCATAGCACTTATCCATTCAATAAATCAGTTTGGGTTGGTTGCTTTGGGGTTTTAGCCCCTTACCATTTATGTATTTAGTGTCTTACTATCAACTGAACATTTTCTTTTTTCTTTTGGTGGAACCGGGGATTGAACTCAGACCCTTGTGCTTGCCAGGGCAGCGCTTATTCCACTGAGCCATCTCCTGGCCCCAGCTGAACATTTTTGTGGAAACCACCAGCTGGAAAAAACATAGCCACTCCCAGGCGACATAGCAGATATGAGAGCTTAGGTGTTGTGCACTGTCTGAAATAATTCCCGAGAGTGCTCAGGAAGCCTCTGAACCCTGTGCAAAGAAAAGCCAGTGTGAGGTTTGTGTCATTCACTTAGATTGTTGCTTTAGGGGAAGAGATGATTGAAGCATAAATATTCAGTGCAGACTTCTTAGTTTAACTTCCATAGATTTAAGTCAATTGAAGATTGAATTCATTCACTATTGGCGTCAATTAACACCAGTATAATTTTATGTGAAATAAAGAAGCCTGTGTTTCTTAAACCAAACTGTCATGTACTATTAAAAGTGGCACATTATTACTTGCTCATAAAATTTTAGTTGTTTATAAAACTAAGAACTCTAGGCCTTAAGGATAAAAGATGATGTTTACCCAACAGCTTCCCTGCCAACAAGCAAAATTGCATTGCTGTTTTCAGAAAGGGCAACTGAGCACGAAAGAAGGTGTAAGATGAGCCAGAGGACTGTGGGTTTTGACTGTGACACCCAGGGATGTTTTATTTGGATTCCTATCTCTCTTAGTTTACAGGGATGGGAGAATCTACATACACTCCCAAACACACACCCACACCTCAAAAGCTGATAAGAAGTGGGAGTGAAAATCAGATAGGCCAAATTTTCACTAATGAGACTCAAAGCCTTACAGAGCTAGCTAATACACACCTGTTATTGTTTGAAATACTGTAAAAGCACTATTAAAAGACCATCAGAGTCCATTTTTAAGATGAATTATTATTGACTTTTTTTTATTATGAGAAGAACAAACTTAATTTCCAAAATCAAATTGCTTGGCATTTCTTGTAACTATTGTATATACATTCAATTCAGAAAATGAGATTTTTATTCCATTCTTTTTACTGCTGCCAAACAAAACACTCGGAGCACTCTTAGAGAATTGTAAATTTTTTAGTAACACTAGCAGAAGGTTTAATCATGTACAAGATAGAAACAGTAATCGAAATGCATGCTAGTGCAGTGTCAATTCAGTGCTTGTAAAAGTAAACCTAACTTATGAAAGAAGTGTTTCTTGGCTTAGAAGTATTTTTTGGCTGAAGGGATATTGAAAAAGTATGTACTATACTAATAGAGCATCAGAATTGCAGATATTTGTACTTGGATAGAATGCTATGTAAATTAAAATATTCATATCATGGGTAGAGTAGAAGTTCTGAAAATGGCACTATAAAAGAACCATTATTTTGGGGAAGGTTTCAGAAATGCAAAAAGCAGAAAATGTAATGAACTCTCAGACTCAGTCACCCAGATTCATTTTCAGAATCCTACCACTGCTACTTTATTTGCCCTTTTCCTTTGTTAAATCATTTTAATGTAATTTGCAACTTGCCATTTTACCTTTATTTACCATGTCTCTGAGAAACAAATAACCACAGTGACATCATATCCATCAAAATTAAAGATAAATCTTTAGAGGCATCATCTATATATAGTCTGTAAGTCAAACTTACAAGATTAAGTTACAAATATCTTTTTATATTTGACTTGTTCTAATCAGGATTCTAATAAGGCCCATTCATTACAAATAGTGATTAATTTCTACAGACTCTTTTTTAAAAAAAGTTAGCATCTTAACAGTATATTTGTCACCATGAACCAATGTCAGTCCATTTTTATTAGGAATGGTCTATGTTTCAGGTTCCCTTGGCCTTTATCCAGTGTTCTTTTTCTGTTGCAAGATGCTATCTAAGTTTCCTTATCACATTTGAGTATTAATGACTCCTGGGCTCTTCTTCCTATTTGTGTTTAATGATCTGAAGATTTCTGGTCATTTGTTTTGTAAGCTATCCCTCGGTTGAGATGATTCTGATGTTCTCATTAGACTGAGGCTATTGATGCTATTGATCTGGGGAGGATGCCACGTAGGTAAAATACCCTTCTCAGCACATCATGTCAGGGACACACAATACTAACATGACAACATTGCTGGTATTAACTGTGATCCCTAGCTGAGGAAATATTGTCAGGTTTCACCTTTGTTACCCTTTGGTTTTTTCTCCTCTGTGATATACTTTCTGGAAGGAAGTCATTATATAATGCATGCAGGGCAGGTGGAGAATTATATTAGCATGCACTGTGGCTATTTATTACACTGTGTTCCTCACCTTGTTCCAGCTTTGGCCACATGGAGCTCTTTTAGGTGGGCATCTAGGTCCTTTGACATATCCCTATCTGTCTCTCTTGTTAAAACATTTCCTTATTTTCTCAAGCTGCAGGGTATTTCAAGCTCAAAATCCATGCCCTAGCTGTAGAACCATTCATTTCTCTAGGAAGCTCTGGTTCCTGTTACTGGAGAATGTACTAGAAACCAAAATCGGAGCTCTAGGTTGCTTATTGCTACTGAGGTGTCATTGGTTCTGGGCCTTCTGAGCTAAGAACAAGGAACTGTATGTGTATAGGATTACTGTGAACTTGGTGGCTTAAAGCAAGAAGCATTTATCTCATAGGACTAGAGGTCAGAAGACCAAAGTCAAGAGGCAAAAAACATACACGAAGGAGAAACATGGAAGGAAAGAAAGCAGAGCAGAGATGAGGGGTGAAGGACTTGGTGAAAGCTTCTGGCAGAGCAGGGAGTCCCAAGAAGGGAGGAGAAGGAAAATAGAACAGCAGCAATAATGGGAAAAGTCAGCAAGGATGTTAGTAGTCGACGGAAGACATTGGCCCACAGATTCAGAAAGCTCATCAGCTCCGTGGTCACAAGCAGAGTGGATGCAGTGAAATGAGATCCAAGCACAGCAAGCAGCAAACTGAAACCCAGAGGTGAAGAAAATGCTAAGAGCTATCAGAGAGAAAAGACACACTGATTATAGAATGATGTGCAGTTTTTTTTAACTGCTGAGAACCCTGCTGATTTAGAATTCTAATTCTAGCTGCGATTTTGTGACAGAGAGCAGTTTACTCCCAACCTGAAGATGCGAACCAGTGACCTTCTGGCCTTGGACGTTAGGCAGCACACAGTGATGGTCCCTCAGAGAGGACTCAAACAGGTGGAGCTCGGTAATGTCCTAGCATCGTGCCTGGAGAGTTTCTCGTATGTAGTACAGATCTGCATGGAACGAACCGTGGTCATCTGGATGTGGCCTTGGTAGACCAAAAAGCTTAAAAAGAAGTAGGACTACAAATAGCAAGCGCATCCACTTGTTCTGGAGCTGGGCTCTTCACGTCTTTTTCAGAATAGAGCATATACCCCAAGCTGCCAGATAGCAGTCTTACTATCAGAAGAAACTATGGTGAAGTATAGACTACACAATTTAAGTCACAAGGGAAACATTTAGGAGTAGTGTAAATTCTTTAGCATTGCATTTGTTCCCTTAGGAAGAAGTTTGTAACTTCTTTTATATTTCTAAAGACTATAAGCTTATATTTTGTGATGATTTTTATTTGTTAATTTGCAGTGCTGGAGATGAAACCCAGGGTCTCTCTCGCACATGGTACACATGGACTCTAATACTAAGCCACACTGCTAGCTATTATGTGCTCGGACTGTTCCTGTCCATCCAGAGGCAGAGGACCTCAATTGTATAACCTCTCAAGGTTTCTGCTAAGTCTTAAAATACTGTCATATGGTAGTTTTAAGATTTCATGTGTGTTCTCATTAATTTCTTTTTCTCAAGGTTGATAATATCAATGAAGCTGTGATGGATTTGAAAAAACAGAAGATCCGCACTCTAACTGAAGAAGCCAAGACAGGAGCACATGGGAAGCCCGTGATTTTTCTTCATCCTAAAGACTGTGGTGGAGTCCTTGTAGAACTGGAGCAAGCCTGACTTAGATTTGCAAGAAACTAAATTAATTGACTGGGAAAACACTTACCGATCACTATTATAATATATTTTAGTACTGCTTCCATCACTTAAAAATTTGAAGTGAAATATTAAATTACAAAAATACAAAAATACCTCAAAATACTTGCTCTTCGAGAACAGCTCATGTTCACAGGTTCTGTAGAAATGAAAGTCTGGGGTGCTAGAGCTAGATGCATAGGAAGTATTATGGACAACTTGGCGTAGGATCTGGGGATGGACACATACCAGGATTATTTGTTTTAGTTGATGTAATTGGTGGAGTTATTGTCACTGAGGTGTGTGAACACCTCAGGAGGCCCTGGAGGAATGCTCAAAACCAATAGTATCTCACTGCCAAGAAGGCTGTGGTACAGCTGGGGAAAGAACCACATGAAAGAAGTGGAAATATTTGCAAAACACCATATGAATAAATTTTAAAAAGGTATATGACACTCTGATGAGCTCAGGAGCTGAAATTTTTTCCTCAGACTCTCAAATATATTGGGAATAAAGAGACTATGCTGCTGTGCCACACCTCGCCCCCATGGACTTTGTATTCCATGACAGTTCCTTTAGGAAATGGGCCACAAAGTGTCAAAATCTTCAGTCACTCTGAGGAGCCAGGCCTCAGCCAACCGTACAGCCCTCCCCAGCCATCACGCTCCAAGCCCTTGGTGCCAGGCTCTTGGGGCGCAGCTTGCTTCCTGGCTGCTCCCTCTGGAGGAGCAGCCTTTCAGTTCTTAGGTACATCTTGGACCTTGCTGCTCTTTCTGCTGTTCCACCTGTTGTTTGCTTAGGGCATCAAGAACCCCGTGAGAATCCCCAATCCAATAGCAAGGTGATAAATCACATGTATAAGTAAAGCAATAGAAAATATGCCCTGTAACCATAACTGAATAGACTAAAAATTAATAGCAGATAACAGGAAAATCTTCCAAAACTTGTGGTTACCAAAGGAAAAGCTCTCAAGGAATAAAACGTATTAAGCTGACTACAAAGGCATCCATTTTTATAAAATTAAAAAAGTGCATAAATAAAATTAAATTTATGAATTTAATTCATGAAATAATACAGTTCTGCTTTCATGAAAATGGGATTTAGTAGAAATATATGCAAACTGGTACATGTGATAGATTGGTGTTAACCTCCTGACATCTCTTCCCATGTGGAATTCTGACTTGGTTAGGTCTCCGTCCGTATCCCTTTCCCACTCAGGAAAAGCCTGGAATTTGGACTTAAATTCCATCACCCTTGCCAGTGACTAGACTGAGGCAGTGCAACCCATACCTAGATAATTAGCCTGAAGAAAGGTTTGTGAGAAGCTTCTGCAAGTGTCCTTTCCTACTTCTCGGTGGGAACGTAGGAGTATGAGAACTCGCTCTCTCACCAGAGGCAAACAGAGAAAACAGTTGTGTAGGGGCTAGGGATATAGGTCAGTGGCTTACGTGCCTGCCTGACAAGGTCCCAAGTTTGATTCCCAGTACGGGGGAAAAAAAAAAAAAAACCAGTTGCGGGTGCTATTAGCAACAACCCAATGACCATGAAAAAATAGGATAATACTAATAACAAAAAAATTGACATTTTAAAAAATGCCTAAACCAAGCATGGTGGCACATGTCTGTAATCCCAACATTGGGAGACTAAGACCAGAGGCACACAATTAGAGCCTAGCCTAGACAGCTTAGTGCCTTACTGAACCCTGTCTCAAAAGCCAGAGCAAAATGAAAAAATATTAAAAAGGACTGGGGAGATAGCTTGGTGCAAAGATTTAATCCCCAGTACCAAAAAGTACATTTATTATTGAACAAAAAGTTGTTTTATTCATGGTATTTTTAAAGTCAAACTCTGCTAAAACATCTCTAAAAATAAAAACAGTAATTAGTGCATATCCGTAATACTTAAGGGCTTCATGTGAATTATTTCAACATTAAAAGCAAAACAATACACTGATCACTGTCTTAGCCTTATTTGTCACTGCATTTTTCTGTTTTTCAAAATGGTTATGTTTTTAATAAAACTTTATTTATAAATTATTTGTCTAATTGATTCTTCCCTGTAGAGCTTTTTTCCCCCTTTGAATGAACTTTGTTTTCTAAAAGAGTTTTAGATTTATGACATACAATGTAAGGGACAGGAAGAGGCTTATCCCCTCCCCTCCTGCTGCCTGCGCTGTGTTCCGATGCCGTGACCAGCCACCCCTCTGCCACCCCAGCCTGCCTTGGAACCAGCTGCTTGTGGACTGAAACCTCTTTACACTGGGAGCGGAATAAACCTTTCTTCCTTGGAACTTCAGGCATTGAGTATTTTGTCTCAGCACTGTCAGGAAAGTAACAAAGACACATACATTGTGAAATCTTTGCCGCAGGAAGCTAATTAACCTCACCTGGTTCCCTTCCTGTGTGCACGGTGATAAGATCTGCTTTCAGCAGATGTCACTTACATAATGCATTGTTAATTATGTAACAGTTACTAGGCTGTGTGCTAAGTTAGGCCTTCGAACTTAGGCACCTGCGTGTTCATGCCCCTTTGGTCAGCACCTTCCACCTCCCAGATTCCCACGGATCACCCTTTTCTGGCTCTGTGCCGCAAGTTTACTTTAACGCTCAGTCACTTCACAGGTAGTACAGAGCCCTCAAGCAACAAAATAATCTGACCCCGCCGTCCTTATGTCACTGCTTTTATTTCACTTACCATAATTAAAAACACTTAGTAGTTTTCTGCCACTATAACAAATAATGAGAAACACGCCTTACCGGGGATTGAACTCAGGCCCTTATGCTTGCCAGGCAAGCACTTATTCTCCTGAGCTATCTCCCCAGCCCCTGTTACTTTTCTTGTTGCTGAGACAAAATACCCAACACCCAAACTAAAAGGAGGAAAGGTTTATTTGGCTCACAGGTCAGAGGTTTCAGTCCCTGGTCGGCTGGCTGCAAGGCAGGGTGGCACGGCAGAGGGCATTGCAGAGGAGAACGGTCCGTAGCAGGCAGGCAGCCCAGAGACTGGAGCCTTCTTCAGGTCCCTTACATTGTACACAGGCCACCTACCCTAGGGCCTGTGTGACACCAACATCCTTGCGCCCAGCCAGAACTAGGCTGAACCAATCCTTGGGCTGATTTAGTAACCACACACCCTTGATCCCAACGCCACACAGATCCAGCCACCTCTGAGAATCCCCCCCCCCCCATTGCTGCAGGAGGTTTTGTGAAGACTTCTAGGTTCCATTGGGTCAATGGCAAGGCAGCACACCATGGTGGGGTGCAGGGCAGAGCAAGTGACCCACCTGTGACGCAGGGAGAAAGGGAGGAAGGACTGGGGGCGCCCCTGCCCTAACAACCTAGAATCCTTACCTTCCAAAGGCTCCACCACCTCTCATTAGCACCACCCAGAAAACAGGTCTTTAACACGGGCCTTGAGGAGATGTTAGAGATCTATGCTGTAGCACACCACTTTGCTATTAGTATTTTGAGTTCCTGACCTTTACCATTTTCCTGAAGAACCTCTTTTAACATATCCAGCATGGCTGGTCACTAGCCTCAAATCATTGCTAGCAGTGAAGGAAAGTATGTTCTTGGTTCCTTGTCACTGAGACAGCACCTGACACTCACGGAAATCCATGGTGAGCAGGCTCCCTTGCAGAGAGGGCACAGAGGAGGGGCCTCCTCTGGACGGCCTGCGATGGAGGCAGGGAAGGAGGGAGGGAATGGAAGAGCTGAGAGAGAGAAACACCAGGCCTTCCCCGCTAGCATCAAGTCAGCCGTGAGTTTGTAGTGGTTGAGTTTGAGGCAGTCACTATCAAACACATGAAGTTTGCGGAGAGACACCAGAGTTAAATCACAGCAAATACTTCTGAGATGTGCAAAACTTGAGGATTTTGAGGCCTCTGACTTTAGAGGATATAGTGTGGTAAGCTTTTGCCTCTCAAAACTTTCAATATTTTACTCCATTCTTGGGTTTTTATGGGTTTTGAGGATTTAATTCTTTCATATCCTTTATAGGAGAGATATTCCCCCCCTTTTTTATTTCCAATATTTTGTTCTTTAATCTTCAGCAGTTTGAGTATCATATATGTAGGTGTCATGTTTGGGATTTGGTTTGGTTTTGTGTGCCTGGTGTTCTTGGGGCGTCCTGGACCTGTGGGTTCCTGAATGGCATGCATTTTCCTTCCCTAGTCTAGGCAGTATTCAATCACTAATGCCTCTAGTATTGCTTCTGTCTGTGTCTTCTTTTTCTAATATTCCCATGACATGATTCATACGCTGCATGTAGTTGTACCATAATTGTTCTTTCCGGTTCTTCCCAGTCTCAGTTCTTCGCTTTTGAGTTTGCACACCATCCTATCTTTTTTATGTATGTGTTTCTATTTCTAATTTTCCAATGAACATTATGGATATGTACAGTATATAACATTGATGCTAAGGGCTGGCCAAGTAGCTCAGCAGATTAAAGTGCCTGCAAGCAGGCACAGGGGCCAGGGGTTTGATCACCGGGCCTGCAGTGCTGGCCCCGAGCACTTGGGAGGCTGTAAACGGGAGGATCACCATGAGTCTGATCTACTCAGCAAGACCCTGTAGACCCTGTCCTAAAATTAAAAAACAAAAACATTGATGCTTTGTGTGTGTATGCAGTGTGAGGTGATTCAGTCAAGTAAGTGAACGGAGCCATCACCTGATAGGTGAAGCAAGATAGAAAAATGGGTGTGCTTAAGAATTGGTTTGCAATAAAAGATACACCGTTATGAGTCCTCAAAATACTTACACGTTGTGCTGAACACACTGATCCCATTGTCCTTGCTACTTTCAGAGGCCTTTCTGGAAGTCCTTTCTCATGTCTGTAGCTGTGCCAACGTGGTTGCCCCTTACAAATGTGGAAAGTGGGTTTCTGAATGATACCCACTTTGCCCAATCTCCCTGGACCGCGCTGTTTCCAGCTCCTCTACCGGCAGGAAGGAAACTGCCTTGTGGCCTGAGTCTGGACCCGCTTCTCCTTCCAGAGCTGTTCTAAACCTGCAGCTCCTCGCTGAGCTCTTGAGGACAGTGAGTGGGAGCAAGAACAATGTGCTGAGCATGCCCAGAAAAAGACAGAACCAGGACGTGCTCGCGAAGGGAAGGTCTAGCTGTTAAAATTACATTTGGCATCTGGGAGAAGAAAATGAACATTTTCTCCTGTATTTCTGCCAAAGTTCTAAGTTTATTTCTCAGAGCTGTTAAAACAGTACTGAAATGATCTAGATTAAGAATTTGTCTTCTTTGGTCAGATAACCACATTCAGGTAGAAGTGAGAAAAGCAGTAGGTTTCTCTGCCCTAGGTGGCCTATGAATACAACACTGGTGTGGCATCAGCCCCATAGGTGTGAGTACGGACCACAGGCCTGTCAAGTTATTTTAATGAGACCAGCTCTAGTTCTTTGCTATTTATCAGCTGGAGAATATTTGCTAATGTTCACTATGTACAGAGAATGAACTCTAGGTCTAATTCAAATTTTATTCCTTCAAAAGTCAAATATACTCATAGTCTTAGTGTGTGATTTTTTAAAATTTTGTTTTGTTTGGTGTATATATGCTGGGGATTGAACCTAGGGCCTTACACAGCGTAGAGCAATGCCCTACCAGTGAGCTACATCTTTATTTTTATGTTTTATTTTGAGACAAGGTCCCACTAAGTTTTCTAGGCTGACCTTGAGCTCTCCATCCACCTGCCTTAGCCTTCAGGTAAATGAGGTTACAGGTGTTCACCATACACAGCTGTTTTTTATTATTATAAATTTGTCAGGGGACACTGCTGTCGTGTATTTGTTGTTGTTGTTGTTGTTTTTACCAAGGAAAATGCCAAGAAATAAGAAATGGATTCCAGGAAGTTGGAGGTAAGGGAAGAGAACTGCCCACTGCCAGATGCACAAGGGAAGCTCACTCGTGGTGGATGTGATTGAAAGTTTGGTTAGAGCATAGGCCACGAGATTATCTTCAACTTTTTTTTTCTACTGGGGATCAAACTCAGGACCTTAAGCTTGCCAGCCAGGTACTTATGCCACTGAGCTATCTCCTCAGCCCAAGATTATTTCTGGACATAAAACTCAGTAGTTATTCCCAAACTCTAGTCAAGTTTGTAAGAGAGATTTAAGCTCATAGTTCAAAACAGGAACGTGTATGATTTATTTAAGATTTAGTAGTTTAGAACAAGATTAGAGGCATATCAAGGGTGATTCCATCGGAGCAGAGAGGAAGGGTGGAGCTTGGCGAGACACTTTTAAGCAGTATCCTGGAATATACCATACCAACTGTGTGCATTGGTCCTTGGGAGTGTGTATATTTCTTTTGCTGAGCACAAGAATTAGTTTTCTTTTGTCATTTTATGTTCATCAAGCTTGTCAATGCCAGAATTTAAGGTCTACTTGATGGATGTATTTTCCATCATAAATTAACACTGTCAAATTCTGGTTTATCAGTCAGTCTTTATATGCTTGGTTAGTGTAAATCTACCCTACAAGCCAGCTCAACAGGATTGTACCTATCTCCCTCTTTGCTGGCAGGCTGGGGGACAAACCAAAGTAAATAAAATCGCCAAGCATTTTGGCAGTTGGGGACCTGGCCTTTCCAGTCAGTACTCTAAATTATCACAAGACAGCCCCCTAGAGCTGCAGCAGAAAGCAACAAAAGTCCCCCCTTTGGTTTTGCTCTGAATGCCGTTTATACCATGTTGCCTCACTTGAGGGCAACGCTGTATGGGAATGCTTTTACAGAAGCACATGTAATGCCACAGTTAAATGGATGTTAGAAGTTATGGTGAGGGGACATTTAAGGTATGATAATAAAGCAACCCACGTCGGCAGGGCCTGCTCGGTCCCAGGGTTCCGCCACACATTCGTGTCTAATTTTCTTAGCAGCCCAACAGCACAGGAG